AAATTATAAACTCACAAACAAATAAACAAATTACAAAGAAATAAACTGTATACAAACAACAAGCATATAAACAAAGAAAAACAAATAAACTATAAACAAACAAACATAGTACAAATAAACAAACATATAAATAAACTGTTAATTAATTTTTTATTGATATAAACTCTGTCATATGCTAAGAAAGAACTTACTTAACATAAATATAACCCGAGAATTCACCCAAAGTCTTCAATATACTTTAAAAATCAATAGTAATTTTTTTAAATAGAAATGTTTTATGCAGGATGATGTTAAATATAAATTTCTTTGAAGGAGGATTTTAAATACAAATAATATACAAAATACATGGGTAGGTTAAGTTTTAGAATTTGAAAGTCATCCCAAAGATATAATCTCAAATTAAAGACTGTTACTGAACTAACACTACTGAGTTGTACATCCGCTTATCCAGTGGGCCCAGCGGGGCCGTTCCTAAGCCATTGGCTGGCCGCGCACTTTCGTAGGATTGTCGGCTCCAAATTAAAACAAAAACGCTCAATGATTAATAAAAGTTTTATTTCATACTCACTAAGTACTTACATATGACAAATTTAATAAATATTTAGTCGTGGTATTGCGAGAGTCCGGCGGCCCGCGTACTTTTACTCGCTGCCTCCCTGCCATGGGACACAGTTTCTCTTAGAAAGTTCCTCACGAAGGCATCCCTCCCTTTAGGCAGATACTCCTTGCATGCTTTGCCGTAATCAAATCAAACAGTCATCTAATGGAAGCAGGGTTTGTTTTGTCAAGTCGATAATTTACAACAAAAAGCAAGAAACAAGCTTAATATTTTTGAACGAGGTAATTTAAAAATTGCATTAAGGAACTTTATGTCAAATATTACAAGATTTACATCAATATATCAAGCACAGCTATCACAATCGTTAAAAGTCGAACTCTGATGCAATAAGAATCTGTGATTTTGTTTCTGAAATCTTGTTTGTATTTGTAAAATTAAAAACAAAAGTTTGATATGGTCACAATATGACTTTCTTGTGTGGCCTATTAAATTATACACAATTTTTGCTCATTTCATTTAAACTTATTTCCTGGAGTTTCCTTAGATATATTTCTCATTCAATTAATTCAGTTCTCACTTCGCGGCGAAGCAAAAATACATAAAACCTCAAACCATTTTCATTAGAAATTGTAAAATACAGGACAGGAGAAAAGTGTAAGGGGCACCATTACGTCGCCATAGGTAGAAGTGGTATTGCCCCTGTACACCACTTCTGCCTTTGTGAAATACTGAAAAACATAAAACACCAAATACAGTAAAAAATTACGATTAAAATTAAAGAGTTTTTACTCAAAAATAAGCAATTCGGCCAACGAGGGAGAAAGCCGATTTTTCGGTGCACAAAACTGAAAGTTGACTTTTGGTCCTACTCGGCAAAAAGACAGTGAAGGTGCAGAAACTGACTTGATTCAGGAGTCTACTGAGTTTCAAATGTAAACAAATGTCGGTTCATTAGTCTTAACTGGCTATTTTTAAATTGTTGATAATTCTACAAATACTGCATTCAGCAGAACATAAAAACCCTATAATGCAATCACTATTAAAGCAAAAAATGCATAGTTTATCAACATATAAGAATAAAGAAAACTTAACTCGCCGAGCCACGTAACAGTGTGGTAATATACATATATATATATTTATACACGATTGGTGCAGCCGACTGCAACAAAAAAAAAGGGGAGGCGCACAACTGTATGTTATAGCAGTCCTGTGTACAAATTTGGAATGTTCTACGACTACTCGCTCTTGAGATATGCGAGATACGTACATACATACAGATGTTAAAGAAAAAATCGTTTCTGAATCCATTTTACAATCCGTTTTAGCAAGAACAGTTCTTTATTCTGTCCGTACGTAGAGATGTCACGTAAAAACATTGTTAAAATGGTTTCGAGAGCGGTCGAAGTGGATGTTTTCGTTGAAATATGCCACCCGAAATTTTTCGCGATTACAATACTTCCTTTACTTCGTACAAGAAGGTAATGATACAAACAGTAATAAAACGTAAATCTAATAAATTTTTCGAAAGCTTTGTTCATATTCTTAGTGTAGTGCTGTCTTAAAATTATTCATGTGGAATTATTTATATTATGATAATGCTGCAAGTTGTAGAGAAATATTTAAGGGGTGTGGAGTCCGTTACATTACTTTTAATCCATAATATGTGAAAAATGAGCAATGCCCTGGCCGGGACTCGAACCTGGACCGCTGGAATACGCGCCGAGAGTGCTGACCGTTACACTTCGAAGGCATGCTGGAAGGAGGAAGAAAATCACCTTATATACTCCCCTTTTAAAGGGCGACTGGGGATTAGAAGTTATCATTGTATTTATACATGCAACTGCAAAGTACCCGTGTAAAGTATATCTTATGTCAATATTGTCTGTAATGCAAATTATGCACCATTAATATGTAAGTATTATGGATGCTGCAATGTAAACAAATGCCCAAACATGGCGTTAGCGTGCCCCATGTCCGTTAGGGTGCACTTCCATAGATAGTTAGTGCAGTGGAGCGATACCAGTTTTACTCATGGCGATGTTCAGGTGCCCCCTGTACTTCTTTGGCTGTCTGTCTGTCTGCAATTAAAGGACCCAATCGACAAATCCTGGTGGTGAAAAATCATCATCATCCACAGTTTTTAGTTCGGGCGCCAGTGTACAGTCATTAGGTTATTTTTAATTCTGAAAATGTGAAAAATGAGCAGTGCCCCCACCGGAATTCGAACCTGGATCTCTTGAATATTCGCCGAGCGTGCTGACCGTTACACCACGAAAGGCATGCTGGAAGAACAGAGAAAATACCTTATTAGGGGGAGGGCCGATGAATAAAATCGTTCCTTCAAAATGGGTCGATGTAGGAAAAAGTCTGGTAGTGTTTGATGTAAATAATCACAAAGAAATATAATTTATACTATAAGGTATTTCTCCCGCCTTCCTTGCGTGTCTTCGTGGTGTAGTGGTTCTGCACGCTGGGCCGGTATTTCCAGAGGTCCGTGGTTCGATTCCTGGCGAAGGAGATTGCAGATTCTTCATCTTGCCTGCTTCCAAAAAATACCTAATGTCTCTACAGTGGCGCCCGAACTAAAAAGGGTGTTGGATGATGATTCTCCTCACCGAGGATTTGGCGATTGGGTCCCCTAAAAACCCCAGTCACCCTTTAAAAGGGGTGTGTATAAGGTATTTCTCCCGTCTTCCTTTCGTGCCTTCGTGGTGTAGTGGTTCTGCCCGCTGGGCCGGTATTCCAGAGGTCCGTGGTTCGATTCTCCCGGCGAAAGCGTTTGCTCATTTTTCATCTTGCCTGCTTCCAAAAAATACCCAATGTCCCTACAGTACATACAAAAATAAGATAATTAAATTACATAAGAAAACTTTTAACAAGTCAACTAGCCAGCAAATGGTTAAAAATTGATAGCAACAAAAAAACATTCAGCTATCATAGTTTCTTAGTTGTTCGACGAACCAAGCGGATCACAAGTTTGTTTAAAGCAATAATTTTCAAAAGTTTTGTACATTTCACTTTTTCATAATAATAATAAAAAGAAAACTATTATAGCTTAAAACGCGAAAGCTACAACAAACTATTAAATTGGCAAAAAAATTGCTTATGTCTCAGAAAAGGAAATTGTATTCGGAATTAAGTCAATTGGATTGTGAAGAGGTTTTATAAGTATCTACCTACTTATTCCCAACATGCAAAAATGAATTTTCTTTTATTGCTGCATTTTGCACTGTTAGTTGCCATTAGGAAGACTGCTTATTAGCGATTTCCTCGAAAATTCCCACAAAGCTAATGAAACCCCAAAGAACTTTATTATCAGCATGAATTCCGAACGTGCACGTCTTTCCCTGTTGCCAAAGAAGACCAACAAGTTTTTCACTTTTTCGTTTCGATTGCATTTTTACCGGGAACGGTTGAGAGCATCGGAAAGCCCCAATTGAACCAACATTTTATTGGATTCTTATTTGCTGCGTTGCGAATACGGTTAATTTAGAAGAATTTTTTTTATCACTTTTTGGGTAGTTTTTGCATTCTATGCAGATGGAAAATTTTGCCGCGAATCACAATTGGTTGAATTTTAAGATGAAAGTCTGGGAAAATTGTAAATATTGGGAGAAGAGTGAAATATTTTATAGCAGATAAATTTAATCAATGGAATAAAGTGTGAAGTTGGTCTCAAATTTGAATCCGGCAAATTGTTCCGTAATAAGGGTAAATAAAGGTTTATTGATCCTCTGGTTTTGCATAGTAATTTATAAATTTGGTGGTTTACTTTATTAAAGACGTGACTTCGGGATTTGTGAGATTGTCTACCCGAATATTCTTACTGTCATTGATAAAAGGCTTCCAGTTATCTACAATACAGGGTGACCCAAAAGTCAATAAATTCACGGTAGAATTGACGTAATGTACATAAAATTGTACGTAGAATTGACGTAATGTACGTAAAATGTACGTAAAAATTGACATACATGATTGAAATGACACGGGTTTTTACTAAAAGAAACAAATGCAAAAAAAAGTGGGCAGCAAAATGTCAGTGATGCTGCATGAAAATCGTGTATGAAATGAGCTGTAGCGAGAAAGGGAATCAGTCCCTTCATGATACTTTTCTATCCTCGCCTTCGGGTGTTGGTGACGGTGTGATGTAGATTTATCACATCAATCTTGATCGGACCTCTTTCTCTTCCAGGAAATGTGTGGTTCTGCTATTCAAACTGTAAATATGCCGGATGCGAGGTAGGCTGATATGTTACAGAACCGCATCATCCCTAGTCTGGCTAATAAACACTTGGTATGAATTTTATGCAGGACGGGGCTACACGTGTGAAAGATCTCTTGCACACATACATCATTTGGTGAGGATCCCGTACTGAGCCAACACTTGAGTCAGTTTTTGTCCTCTCTGGTCTCCAGATCTCACACCGTGTGATTATTGGTTATGAGGATACCTGAAATCGCAAGTCTACCGCGATCGTCCGATCTCACTAGGGATGCTGAAAGAGAACATCCGACGGCAATTTCTCACCATACCCCTACAGATATGCTGTACAGTGCTGTTTACAACATTGTCCCTCGACTTCAGGTATTGTTAATGAATGACGGCCAACATGTTGAACATTTGTTATGAAGAACATATTCTTTGCTGAAAACAAATTATTATGCTAATTATTGCTTTTGTTATCAAATGAAGCTCCACCTGTTAGCCGTTTTAAGCACTTTTTTTGCTTTCAATAAAACCCCGTGACATTTCAAGCTTGTGTGTCAGTTTTTACCTCTCTAACTACAATATTCAGTGAATAATTGAATTTTGAAATGTCAACGGACTTTTGGGTCATCCTGTACTTCATTATAAAGTAATCAGCCGTTAAATTGTTGAGCAGGGATTGCCAACGGGATCGGTATGGACCCCCTGGGATCGCTTAAAGGGGGTCTATGACGATTAATGGGTCGATAGCCGAATACGAGGGACGATTCATAGACATAGATCAAGATTCCGTTAATTATAAAAATATATTAGTAAAATTGACAAGGACGAATGTCAATTAAATTATGACATTCGTACGAAAGAATTCTTCGTCAAAAGAAACACATTTCTGAGTTTTATTTCCATTATTGCTAGGGAAATCGTGAAAGGGCAGTCCTTTTCAACTGCTGCAGTTTATTCTAAAATACAACCTCTGAAACAATGTTCTGAATGTTATAATATACAGGCTGTTCGCATATTTCTAGCCCAAAGGGCTTTAGTTCAGAAGTGCTATAATTTCGTCTTGGAATTTTGCGTTGGTTCACTATAAATGTCGATTCAGCTTTCAAATTGTTGCCACCACATATCAGAATCCTGTGTTATATTTAAAGAAATGAAACAATGAAGAATCTGTATGAATGTATGTATGTTTCTCGCATTGTGATAAGACAACGGTACCTAGAGCCATCCAGTTTTAAATAATGTAATCTTCCATTGAATGGTTGGTTGGTTGAATTTTAATGGCACAAAACCTTGAAGGTTATTATGCGCCAGACGAATGGTGAATGAAATAAAAAATGCTCAAACACACTGTATGAGATGAATTGTTCAAACGAACCTGTAATGCTGATGAAGGCATGGAGAAATGACTTTTGAGAAATGCTCTAGCAACAGGTAAAGCAGGCTAAAAGGAAAAATCATATGGTAAAAAGAGACGTCTTTTAAAAATCTTATGAGGTTGATGTGAGGGTTTCTTCCAGTGAGAGCTGTTAAAACATTCGTACAGTTAAAATGATATTCACGTTTCTGACTAAAACCAGGACAGCAGGTTAAAATGTGATTGACGTTGTAAGTGCCACAAATAGGCTCATTATCTCCTTTCAAGAGATACTGGTATGTCAGTCTGCAGTGACCAATTCGTAGAGGAGTCCGTAGTACATCCTCCTTTCGATTCCCAATAGTCCAAATTGGGTTTTACCTGCCTTAATTTGTTCAGTGTCTGGCATTTCCAAAGTTCTTGCCACCCGGACAAGAATTTTGTTCTAATGTAATTCCGTGTGTCTGTAAAAGACCCATCATTTTCAGAGGTAGTATCAGCAGATATTGCTGCGACATCGGCGAGTTCATTGCTTTTGATGCCAGCATGTCCAGGCACCCAGCAGTACGCAATAGAATAATAACCCGCGTTTCTCAAACGGAGGTGTGCCTTTAAAATTTCTAAGACGAAAGAGGTGGCTAGTATTTGTATTTATTGATTCCAAGAGCACTCAGAGAGTCAGAGTAGATAATGAAATTTCTGCTATTCTGCTTAGAGATAAAGATTAAGGAAATCAAAATGATAAAAATTTCTGCAGTAAAGACAGTGCAGCTTTATGAAGTTTACTACTCCTGATTTCTTTATCACAAACAAAAGCTGCCCCTACATGATCACGATTCTTTGAGCGATCAGTAAAATTTGCTTTATAGTTAGAATCACTGCTTCTATGCGATAGGAAATTTTGTTGATATTGGACATCATTGGTACTGCTCTTCTTAAGTTCTCCAAAAATGTTAAATAGCTGAATATTCACTTCTTGCCAGAGAGCAATACCAACTTCCACTAAATGTGGGTATCTGGAAGCCCAGATCAAAAGTAAGTTTTCAGTTTTGCGCACGGAAAAATCTACCTTCTTGCCCTCTGACCGAATTGCTTGTTTTTGCGTTGAAACTTTAATTTTTAACTGCATGTTTTATATTTTTCAATTTCTAATAAAGTTACTTTGAGGCTTTATGTATTTTCCCCTTGTCGCGAAGTGAGAACTGAATTAATTGAATGATAAATGTATCTTTAATGAAATTCGAGGAAATAAGTTTAAATTGAAATGCAGTAAAAAATAATATAATTTATTTTCCGTATAAGGAAGTCATGTGGTGTACACATCAGATTTTTTTAAAGAAATATTTAGTGCCTTGAATTAAAGCACGTAAAATTCACACCAGGGGTTATTAGAAATAAAACCGTCACACCGTTTTCAAGAATTAGTAAACAAAATATTTTTCCGCATCTCCCCCCCCCTCCCAACTGCAACGTTGAAATGCAACTTCCATTCCCCTCCCTCTTGCTTCTGAAAAAAATAAAGAAGGTTAAGAAAAGCAATAAAATTGCACTGAATACGGTGATTCACATTTCCATTTCCAGCATTCCGTACAAAAACGTATGTTTAGACCCGCATTAAATAACGTGTCTGATCACGTACCCAAAAAACTGGCGACCATGCAGTTTCCCAACTCGAATGGTGATATACCTTTCTCCTGGCAACTAACTCATACCTGGAACAACACCCAACTGGACCTAAGCTCCTAGCGAACATCGTCTCCTGGATGACGTGGATTGTTGAGCTCTGGAACGCGAGCTGACAATGGTGTGGGTGTGAGAAAAAAGTTCATTTCTCAGGGGCTAATGTTCCAAGGAACAGCTGCTGTCATTTTTCTCTGTGTCAAAGTGGATTTTTTTACCTCATCCGCCCCCCCTTCATCCGGCAAAAGACGTCATTGGTTAGGTCCCGCCCTTGTTTGTTCAATAACGATGCATGAGCCTCTATGGATGGTATTTGGTTTTTCTCCTGATAGCCAACTATTACCGAAATTACATTTTCAGAATATGTTTGGCAGAACAAAGAGAAAGTGGAATAACGTAAGAAGGGCTGGCTGCAGGTATGAGCTGAGACAGTGGTCTCACACTCAAACTGCATGTAGGCCAAAGACGTATCTGAAAACAACAACAAAAAGGGGCCGATTTTTTTTAGCACAAAATGAAAAAGACAAACAACAAAACAAAAATGTGTCAGTTTGCTTTGTCAACAAAACAAATATGTTTAACTAAATTAAAAATTTTATTGACTAAATATTTATTGAAACTTAATGACTACAGTGTACAAAGTTTAATGTGATCACGTTTGTCCATGACTATTAACCGAATGATGACATTAAACGACGAGATAAATAGCCTTCAAAACAGCAAATGAATTGACTTAGCGTAAATATATAATTAAGTACTTTCACAACATTTTAACTAGGAAAAATGCAAAAATTTATTTAATAGCCCCAAGGGGCTATTTGCCTAGAAGGGCAATTAATTTCGTTTTGGCATTTTGCGTTAATTTATAAGGTATTTTTCCCGCCTTCTTGGCAAGCCTTCGTGGTGAGGTGATCTGCACGCTGGGCGCGTATTCCAGAGGTGCGCGATTCGATTCCCGGCGAAGGCGTTGCTAATTTTTCATTTTTCCTGCTTCCAAAAAATTCTTAATGTCTCTACAGCAGCGCCCGAATTAAAACGACTGTGAATGATGATTCTCCTCACCAAGTACTTGGCGACTGAGTCCCCTAAAAGCTCCTGTCGCCCTTTAAAAGGGGGACTATATAAGGTATTTCTTCCGCCTTCTCGTCATGACTTCGTGGTGTGGTGGTCTGAACGCTGGGCGTGTATTTCAGAGGTGAGCTGTTCGATTGCTGGCGAAGGCGTTGCTAATTTTTCATTTTTCCTGCTTCCAAAAAATTCTTAATGTCTCTACAGCAGCGCCCGAATTAAAACGACTGTGAATGATGATTCTCCTCACCAAGTACTTGGCGATTGAGTCCCCTAAAAGCTCCAGTCGCCCTTTAAAAGGGGGACTATATAAGGTATTTCTTCCGCCTTCTTGTCATGACTTCGTGGTGTGGTGGTCTGAACGCTGGGCGCGTATTCCAGAGGTGCGCGATTCGATTCCCAGCGAAAGCGTTGCTAATTTTTCATTTTTCCTGCTTCCAAAAATTCTTAATGTCTCTACAGCAGCGCCCGAATTAAAACGACTGTGAATGATGATTCTCCTCACCAAGTACTTGGCGATTGAGTCCCTAAAGCTCCAGTCGCCCTTTAAAAAGGGGGCTATATAAGGTATTTCTTCCGCCTTCTTGTCATGACTTCGTGGTGTGGTGGTCTGAACGCTGGGCGGTATTCCAGGTGCGCGATTCGATTCCCGCGAAGGCGTTGCTAATTTTTTCATTTTTCCTGCTTCCAAAAATTCTTAATGTCTCTACAGCAGCGCCCGAATTAAAACGACTGTGAATGATGATTCTCCTCACCAAGTACTTGGCGATTGAGTCCCCTAAAGCTCCAGTCGCCCTTTAAAAGTTGGACTATATAAGGTATTTCTTCCGCCTTCTTGTCATGACTTCGTGGTGTGTGGTGGTCTGAACGCTGGGCGCGTATTCCAGAGGTGCGCGATTCGATTCCCAGGAAAAAGCGTTGCTAATTTTTCATTTTTCCTGCTTCAAAAAATTCTTAATGTCTCTACAGCAGCGCCCGAATTAAAACGACTGTGAATGATGATTCTCCTTACCAAGTACTTGGCGATTGAGTCCCCTAAAGCTCCAGTCGCCCTTTAAAAAGGGGGCTATATAAGGTATTTCTTCCGCCTTCTTGTCATGACTTCGTAGTGTGGTGGTCTGAACGCTGGGCGTGAATTTCAGAGGTGAGCTGTTCGATTGCTGGCGAAGGCGTTGCTAATTTTTCATTTTTCCTGCTTCCAAAAAATTCTTAATGTCTCTACAGCAGCGCCCGAATTAAAACGACTGTGAATGATGATTCTCCTCACCAAGTACTTGGCGATTGAGTCCCCTAAAAGCTCCAGTCGCCCTTTAAAAGGGGGACTATATAAGGTATTTCTTCCGCCTTCTTGTCATGACTTCGTGGTGTGGTGGTCTGAACGCTGGGCGCGTATTCCAGAGGTGCGCGATTCGATTCCCAGGGAAAGCGTTGCTAATTTTTCATTTTTCCTGCTTCCAAAAAATTCTTAATGTCTCTACAGCAGCGCCCGAATTAAAACGACTGTGAATGATGATTCTCCTCACCAAGTACTTGGCGATTGAGTCCCCTAAAAGCTCCAGTCGCCCTTTAAAAAAGGGGGCTATATAAGGTATTTCTTCCGCCTTCTTGTCATGACTTCGTGGTGTGGTGGTCTGAACGCTGGGCGCGTATTCTAGAGGTGCGCGATTCGATTCCCAGCGAAGGCGTTTGCTAATTTTTCATTTTTCCTGCTTCCAAAAAATTCTTAATGTCTCTACAGCAGCGCCCGAATTAAAACGACTGTGAATGATGATTCTCCTCACCAAGTACTTGGCGATTGAGTCCCCTAAAAGCTCCAGTCGCCCTTTAAAAGTTGGACTATATAAGGTATTTCTTCCGCCTTCTTGTCATGACTTCGTGGTGTGGTGGTCTGAACGCTGGGCGCGTATTCCAGAGGTGCGCGATTCGATTCCCAGGGAAAGCGTTGCTAATTTTTCATTTTTCCTGCTTCCAAAAAATTCTTAATGTCTCTACAGCAGCGGCCGAATTAAAACGACTGTGAATGATGATTCTCCTCACCAAGTACTTGGCGATTGAGTCCCCTAAAAGCTCCAGTCGCCCTTTAAAAAAGGGGGCTATATAAGGTATTTCTTCCGCCTTCTTGTCATGACTTCGTGGTGTGGTGGTCTGAACGCTGGGCGCGTATTCCAGAGGTGCGCGATTCGATTCCCAGGGAAAGCGTTGCTAATTTTTCATTTTTCCTGCTTCCAAAAAATTCTTAATGTCTCTACAGCAGCGCCCGAATTAAAACGACTGTGAATGATGATTCTCCTCACCAAGTACTTGGCGATTGAGTCCCCTAAAAGCTCCAGTCGCCCTTTAAAAAAGGGGGCTATATAAGGTATTTCTTCCGCCTTCTTGTCATGACTTCGTAGTGTGGTGGTCTGAACGCTGGGCGTGAATTTCAGAGGTGAGCTGTTCGATTGCTGGCGAAGGCGTTGCTAATTTTTCATTTTTCCTGCTTCCAAAAAATTCTTAATGTCTCTACAGCAGCGCCCGAATTAAAACGACTGTGAATGATGATTCTCCTCACCAAGTACTTGGCGATTGAGTCCCCTAAAAGCTCCAGTCGCCCTTTAAAAGGGGGGGACTATATAAGGTATTTCTTCCGCCTTCTTGTCATGACTTCGTGGTGTGGTGGTCTGAACGCTGGGCGCGTATTCCAGAGGTGCGCGATTCGATTCCCAGGGAAAGCGTTGCTAATTTTTCATTTTCCTGCTTCCAAAAAATTCTAATGTCTCTACAGCAGCGCCCGAATTAAAACGACTGTGAATGATGATTCTCCTCACCAGTAATTGGCGATTGAGTCCCCTAAAAGCTCCAGTCGCCCTTTAAAAAAAGGGGGCTATATAAGGTATTTCTTCCGCCTTCTTGTCATGACTTCGTGGTGTGGTGGTCTGAACGCTGGGCGCGTATTCTAGAGGTGCGCGATTCGATTCCCAGCGAAGGCGTTGCTAATTTTTCATTTTTCCTGCTTCCAAAAAATTCTTAATGTCTCTACAGCAGCGCCCGAATTAAAACGACTGTGAATGATGATTCTCCTCACCAAGTACTTGGCGATTGAGTCCCCTAAAAGCTCCAGTCGCCCTTTAAAAGTTGGACTATATAAGGTATTTCTTCCGCCTTCTTGTCATGACTTCGTGGTGTGGTGGTCTGAACGCTGGGCGCGTATTCCAGAGGTGCGCGATTCGATTCCCAGGAAAAAGCGTTGCTAATTTTTCATTTTTCCTGCTTCCAAAAAATTCTTAATGTCTCTACAGCAGCGCCCGAATTAAAACGACTGTGAATGATGATTCTCCTCACCAAGTACTTGGCGATTGAGTCCCCTAAAAGCTCCAGTCGCCCTTTAAAAAAGGGGGCTATATAAGGTATTTCTTCCGCCTTCTTGTCATGACTTCGTGGTGTGGTGGTCTGAACGCTGGGCGCGTATTCTAGAGGTGCGCGATTCGATTCCCAGCGAAGGCGTTGCTAATTTTTCATTTTTCCTGCTTCCAAAAAATTCTTAATGTCTCTACAGCAGCGCCCGAATTAAAACGACTGTGAATGATGATTCTCCTCACCAAGTACTTGGCGACTGAGTCCCCTAAAAGCTCCAGTCGCCCTTTAAAAAAGGGGGCTATATAAGGTATTTCTTCCGCCTTCTTGTCATGACTTCGTGGTGTGGTGGTCTGAACGCTGGGCGCGTATTCCAGAGGTGCGCGATTCGATTCCCAGCGAAGGCGTTGCTAATTTTTCATTTTTCCTGCTTCCAAAAAATTCTTAATGTCTCTACAGCAGCCCCCGAATTAAAACGACTGTGAATGATGATTCTCCTCACCAAGTACTTGGCGATTGAGTCCCCTAAAAGCTCCAGTCGCCCTTTAAAAAAGGGGGCTATATAAGGTATTTCTTCCGCCTTCTTGTCATGACTTCGTAGTGTGGTGGTCTGAACGCTGGGCGTGTATTTCAGAGGTGAGCGGTTCGATTGCTGGCGAAGGCGTTGCTAATTTTTCATCTTTCCTGCTTCAAAAAATACCCAATGTCTCTACAAATTCACTAATATCACTACAAAACTAAAGTGAACGGCGAATCACTTTTTAAACTATTGCCACCAAATAATAAAGCCCTGTCTTATATTTAAAGAAATTATGCATCTGCATAATTCAAGAAACTATACATTATCATAATTAAAGGAATTATGCATTTGCATAAATGTATGTGTTTGTCGCACTGTGATAAAACAACGGTACCTAGACCCATCCAATTTTGAACAACGTACGTCTCCATCCGAATATGCGCATCTGGATGTCCAAATTTGGAATTTGTTTCATTATCTATTTCATATTTTGTATAGCATTTATGAATTTTGATTAAGAAACACAATGATTTCACAGCAAGCAATAGCAACAGTGTACGGTGTAAAAATTAAAATAATAATAATAATAATAATAATAAAAATTAAAAATTAAAAAAAAATTTAAAAAAACTCCAACGACTGTGTATCGGAAATTCTAAAGATATGCTCTTTTAAGCATTTTGTGATATTGCGTTTGAATTGAATTTTATGGTTTAAGTGCGAAGAACATGATATTTAATAAATAAAGGTAACACACAAAAGGTTAAAAAATGATCCTTTGGGCGTAATATATAAAATATGAAAGCTTTCGGTTTTTTTGTGTGTATGTGTGTGTGTTTTTTTTATATGAAAATTCATTTATAACCGAAGAAGTTTTTGACACATAACAAATACTCGTACAGCATCCTTTATCCATTGGAAGAAAGCATGCAAATGTAAAATTTAAAATTAGCGAAAAAAGCAACATTATTTTGGGATTGATGCATTTAAAGGATTCTTTTATCCCCAAAACCAGCGGGAAAAGTCTGCAGAAATGCTTTTGCTACTGAACAAGAGGCATCTGTGTCTTATCACCTTCAAATCACCTTCAAAATTGACAGAGTTATTCCTAATCTACTCTTTCTAAGGTGTCTTGTTTGCGTCATTTTAAATGGTTGGCTAAAACTGGAAAACATGCTGTTTGACGACATAATCTTTTACTTAGCAGCATTTATTTCAGTGACCTTGGCCTATTTTTATAAACCCTTTTGACTTTATTCGTTTGGTGTTAACAAAATATCATGGTGAAACTTGATTACATTAAGTGGCGTTTACTGTATGTTCTGAAAAAGATACATTTGCTTTATATTTGACAATTCTTAATGGGCTTTCGAAGCCTATGAGCACTTCAATCGTTTTGATGCGTTTAACCAGTTAACTGTGATTGACGAGTATACTCGTCATGGAGAAGAGGCACGATTTTGTGTATTGACGAGTATGCTCGTCTTGCGTGTGTTATGTTTATGAAATGGAAAGATAAGTGGGTAAGTACTGTACATAATGACAACGTAATAGAAACAGATAAAAGAAAAATAATAATAAAGAAACCAGAGCTAGTGATTAATTATAATAAAAAAAATGGGTGGAGTGTATAGGAGCGATGGAATTATCATAGCGTACTCCACAGCAAGAAAACGACTCAAAAAGTACTACAAAAAGATATTTCTCCATTTCTTGGATATTATGTGTCTGAATGCATTCATATTATATAAAAAAAATGGAACATTATCGCGTATCAACGTTTTGCTCAAATTTATTGAAGACACTTTTGCGACGTATCCAATTGAAAGAAAGAAATCGACACAAACTCGGCCATTTAGACCTCGAATTTAAATCAACCAATAAGTTTAAATTAAGATTAAATTAAGATTTAATTCAATCCAATAAGTTTAAATGAAATGCAGCAAAAATGTGTATAATTAAGTGGACTGTACAAGGAAGTCACGTGGTGTTCACATCGGATATTTTAGATTTATTATTAAGTATCGTTTTCTTCGAACTTACGTCACATACAGTTCAACAAGAAAATCACGAAATTTTTAAAAGCTGCCTAGCAGCATGCGTTTATAACTCCCGGTGCAGTTTTGGCATAACATTTTTGTTTATTTTCTTTCTTTTCTCAATTTATTATATCAATATTCAGTTTTCGTAGCAAGAAGGCTAACAATTTTTTTTCTTTTTATTATTAAATTTTTGTATGTTAACTTTATTTATCAAATGCCACGCTTTCGCACTTTACGCCACATAAAATTCAACAGCAAATTACAAAATGTTTGAAAACATCCTACCTTAAGAATTCCCGACCTATTTTTATATTTTCTATAGCATGTTTTTAAAAAATAGACGTTTGCGCGGGTTCCCTCTTAAAATGATTGTCATAAAAAATAAATAGAATATTATGATTTTAGCTAGTGTAATTTGCCCAGCTAAGTGATTTTATAGAAATATTCAGTATTTCTAATTAAACGTCTCTAGATTTTTTAAATGAATCACATTAAAAAGCAGATAAAAATATTCATCAAAACTGTGTTCAAGACCGATGATTTCGCATGGTTTTAAATCGTTATTAAATTTATTACTCAATAACCTGACAGATTAAATTCCAAAGTATCTTAGGCTTTGCTGAATGCCAATGCACTGACAGGTAAAAGATTAAAAAGGTTTTATTTCCATCCGTGGCAACATATCGCTTTCTTAGAGCCGAGTTTGTTAATTTAAACTGAAAGATCAATATCTGACATTTTTCCGAATGGCAACAGTCTCGCGCGCTGGAGATAAAAATGTATTTCGAACAGTGTTGCCATTGCTCGTCTTCAGATCGTTGAATTTGATAATCAAAAATTCTTTAAAGTTTTACAAAATATGAGGTAGATAATAAAACTAATTCAAAATTAAGGATTCCAGGTGCCCATGCTCGAATGGAGGACTACGTTATTCAAAAGTGGATGGTTCTAGGTACCATCGTTTTTTGACACTGAGAGGAACGTACATACATGCAGATTATTCATTATTTCTTCAAAAATAATACAGGGCGATAGTATTTGGTGGCAACAACTTTAAAAGTGATACGCCGTTTTTAGTGAACCAAGAAGGTTAGAATAGATAGCGCAAGCATGACGTCACAGAAATGAAGCAAAGAAATGTCAACAACGTGACGTCACGGCTTATCAGGCTGCCATACAGCGTGTGGATATGGCTACGAAACATTTTGGTAAATAAAATTAGATTCACTTTGAGAGCAAATATCGATATCCGGAGGCTCAAAAAAGTGTCTGTAGGCGTAATTTGCATAAAATACCATTGAAACGTTCACTGGTCTTTTAGATTTTACTATGTATTCATACGTCTTATAGTTATCATTTACACATTTTCATGTACCTAAATTTTATTAAATTTGAAAAGGATATTTGCAGTCTTCGTGATTTTTCTATGTAGTAAGTAGAAAATTATTCAGAGAACTTATTCATTGAACTATGAACATTCAATGATGAACAACTAATATGTAGAAAACACCGATTAGAATGTAAACAAAACCAGGAGTCAGCCTATGGCAGCACCCATGATAAGTCGTGACGTCATACCGTGACGTTTTATGGCTTCGTTTTTATTGCTTGGGACATACGGAGGAGGCTTACTCCATTTATTAGAAACTCCTTGTAGTGAACTAACGAAAAATCCTGTTTCGAGATTAATATAGCCCCTTGAAGGTTAAAACAAAAGTTGTATACTTTTTGTGCTGTGGTCATTAGGGTATTTTTTGAAGGAGGAAATGTGAAAATGAGCAGTTCCCTCGCCTGGATTCGAACCTGGGCCTCTCGATTGCTCGCCGAGTGTGCTGACCATTACACCACGAAGGCATGCTAGAAGGTGGGAGCAATACCTTATATACTCCCGCTTTTAAAGGGTGACTCGGGATTAGGACTCCCAATCGCCAAATCCTGGTGGTGAAGAATCATCATCCACCATCATTTTTAGTTCGGGCGCCACTGTCATTAGAGCAATTAGACTATTTTTTTTTTAAACAGGCGATGTGAAAAATGAGCAATGCCCTCGCCGGGACTCAAACCTGGACCTCTCGAATACGCGCCGAGTGTGCTGAGCATTACACCACGAAGACATGCTAGAAGGAGTAAGAAATGCCTTATAGTGCGACATAAAATAATCTTCTTTCTTCTTTTCAAATGCAGTCCACTATAGTAATCTCTCATAAATATGTAATTCGCTAATTTTCAGAATTAAATAAAGATTATTAAATATTATGTATTTTCTTTATTCGATAGTGTCCTGTGATGGTGTTAATTGCGGAAAAGGAATGAAGTGCATCATGCGCAGGCAACGACCTGCTTGCGTCTGCGCACCCACCTGTTCCCGAAAGAAAAGGCAAATGGGAGAGGTTTGTGGTTCAGATGGCCGGACGTACAGACATATCTGTAGGCTGATAAAGAGGCAATGCCGGAAGAACAAGCAGTTGACTATCGAATACTTCGGAAAGTGCCAAAGTCAGTATAATGATTAATAATATTCATGAGTACGATAATAGCGAGTATAATGTTTAATTGCATTTATTACTTTTAACAGCTTTTCTGTTCTGTGCATTCCTTATTTCTTTTCTATCAGAAGCTGAATCATCATCTTTGGCTATCATAAACTTTAGCTGGAACTCAAATTTTAATAACCGTAAAATCGGGTAGCAAAGACAGGTTTTCCATATTTAGAGTCTTTACTTTCTAAGAAGATAGTTCTATGAATTGGTAATACTACTATAGGATAGGTTTTGCATATAAAATTATCTTCACTCATTACCATCTAGAAGAGATCTGTATGAATTGTTAATACCATTCCATATTAGGTTTTGCATGAATTGGTAACATTATTACATATTAGGTTTTGCATATAACAATATTTAGAGTCGTTACGTTCCAAAACGTTAGTTCTATGAATACGTATTACTGTTACATAATAGGTTTTGTATATAACAACATCTTGACTCGTTACGCTCCACAAAGCCAGGTCTATGAATGTATAATGTTCTGTGAATTGGCAATGCATGTTAGATTTTGCATATAGCAAAATATATATATGCATATAGATATTTGATCATAATGCAATTCAACCAATGTTTTTCGTTATTGAAAATACCCTAAAAACATTTTACAAAAATTTCTTTGGAAATTAATGTTATTTTCAATTTTTTTCCTTGCTAAACATGTAGAGTCATTAGGTTATTTTGCATCTAAAGCAGAAAGACGTGAAAATGTGCAATGCCCTTGCCGGGGCTCGAACCTGGACCTCTCGAATACCCGCCGAGTGTGCTACCTTTACACCACGAAGGCACGCAGAAAGAAGGGAAATAATGCCTATATACTCCCCCTTTTAAAAGGTGAATGGGGATTAGGGGACCCAATCGCCAAATCCTGGTGGTGAAAAATCATCATACACCAACTTTTAGTTCGGGCGCCACTGTAGAGACATTAGATTTATTTTGAAGCAGAAGACACAAAAAATGAGCAATCTTAGCTAAGTGCCGTTGTCAGGATAGCTACAAAATGACTTAACAAGAAATCTTCAGATTTTCGAAAAATTTATTATGCCATCAAGAGTTTCTTTAACAGTTTTCATTTTTCCCCCATCTGTGACATGCAATTGTCTTATATACACTCGCATATATTTGTATTTAATTTTCACTTACGTGCAAATAAGATTTTAAGTATCACTAAATACTTAAGAGATACATCTCAAAAGTAATCCGATTGAACTTCATGCACCAAAGTTCATAAGTGTTTTGGAAATCAAAGGATGGGATTTTTCAAAAGACATCTTAAAAACACTTCAGCTTCACAAAAGTTACTATAGTGAACTTCATGTCTGAACAAAAACTGCAGCCAGTAAAATTTACAGTTGCTTTCAGTTTGCAGTGTAAAATATTCTGTTTAAAGAAATTTTGTGTAGATCTCACTAAGAAGCAACTTGGTGAGAATCATAAAAACTAGGAACAGGTTTCAGAACTATCCAGAACGCAAACATAATTGGTTTCTGATAAACCATCGTATTCATTGTTATTGTTGACTAATGATGACTTGTCTAAACTATAGTCACCCCAAGCCCACGAAACTACTCTTGGCAAGGAGTGCAACGCCTCTCATTGGCAACAGCCTTGAGCACCTTACAGGTGACAGTGCGATTTATTGCAGTTCCACCCTGATGGAGAGCACCCAGGGGGCACGGGTCCGAGTCGCCCACGCCTCTTGTCCTACCACCAACCTCTGGAGAGAACGTTCAGCTCGCCGCGCCGTATATTTAGAGTGCCCCCCATGCCGCATGGACACTATACATTTACAAATATCCATGCCTTCTCCGGGATTCAAGCCCGGCAGTCAGCGACGCTAACCACTATACCGGTTGGGCGGTATCTTGTTCAGTGAAATTTATTAAACTTCTTTAATCCGGTTCGGATTTCAGTCAGCAACAGTAAAAGATTTTCAACATACAGGGTCATCCCGAAACACACACTTTAATGAAATAAAATTTATTGTTTGTTACTACCAAAAGTAGTTATAGGTTAATGTAATCATACATAAGTTAGAATATCTTTAATACAACCTTCCTGCACCTGAACCTGCACGGTTGTTTACAGCGCTCAAAGTGTCTGAGAGACGTCTAGACACATAACACAACGACGAGTGGTTGCTTGAACGACGTTGGTCAGTGTGTCCGCGGTCACTGCGAACGTTGGTAAGAACAGTTCTTTAATCAGCTTGCCCTCATCCTTTTTTGAGTTTAAAAAAAAATGACAGATGTCATTTATTATTAAATTAAAATATATTATTAGAATAATTAATTATTCTAATAATGTATCTTAATGAAATATTAATTATTAATATTGGTTAAAATAGAAATTAAAATCACTTAAGTTGTCGTTCCTTAAGCAGATCAGCTGATTGTTCTATACAATTACTCTAACCACTTCTGATTGTTCTATACAATTAGCCAAACGATGACAAGTTTCAACAGGTTCAAAATTGTATTGTTTTAGTAAATGCGTCATAGTGAATTCCACGCATACTCTTAATGCGCACGAACTTATGGACTGACCCGATATATTCCTCTTGCAGCGGCCTCGTTATGGTCAATATGTGTTGCGCTTACCTTGGGTGCGTTCGAGTACATTCTTGGCAGACGGATGACACGGAAGGCAGATGGATGATTCTATATGTGACACGACACCAGAGTTAAGCTAGGGTTTTCCCGAATTTCGATATGCTGAGCTCAAAAAGTTCGCTATCACTGCCCTAAGCACTTAAAAGATTTTGATGCCTCTCACATATTTACAATACAATGCTTTTCCTTTTGTTCATTGCTTCTTTCTCGATCTTGTCTTATCTGCACCATGGCAAAACCAGCAATGAAGCATTTTTGTGGTGCCTCCATCCTTGGTCCCTAAGAACCTTTCTGTGGTGTTCCCTTTTCTTGATGCCGTAAGCATGCACTTAATTTGCTTAAACATATTACAGTCATGACAGTACCAACATGTGATGAGCAAACACCATACTATACATGTTGTAAAAATAATAAAAATAGTTTTGTTACATATTGTAAAGATAGCAAATGTACTTGTAAAGATAATTCAATTCAGCTGCGAAACCAATACGCAGATCATCTGTTAAAGTGTGTATACATTTTTCTAATGGACAGTGGTGTTTGGATCTTAGTAGGATAGCAGTATAAGGTAGCTTTATTTGCATAAGTGAAGTAACCTTACTTTTTAATATTTTAGCTAAGAATAGTCGAGCTTTGACAGCGACTTTCTTGTATTTTAGAAAATTGTGAGAAAGTCCAATGTGCCGGACGAAAAACTTGCCTTCTGGACCAGATGCTGAGGCCCCACTGCGTTCGTTGTCAAGGCTACTGCTCTTCCAACTCGCTTGGCGATTATGTCTGCGGAGCGGACAATGTCACTTACAGCAGTTCCTGCCACATTCGACAAGCCGCTTGTGTCAAGGGAAAAGCGGTTCCTCAGGCTTACAGAGGGAAATGTAAAGGTACGTATCTGACTATTACTTCCTACTTAATAAACGTAAAGAAGAAGGGGGGATCTATAAAACCTCTTATGCGCTTCGTAAAAAGTATTCCAGTTGAGATATTCTGCAATTTTATAATAATTCTGCAAAAATCTGTGGACTGTGGTTTTACGGAAGTTTAGGTCGTAACTGTTAGGTTTCACTAATAATTAAACTTACGAGTAATTTAAACACTGCCCTGTTTTTCCTTTTTAAACTCAAGTCACATATATTCGCTCAGAGCAGAAGATTATGCAAATTAAGAATACGCAAAAGCGAGTTCAAAAACGTACTGAGAGGCCTAGTGTTCCGGTTTACCGTACCAGTTGATAAGTAACTGTTAGCACTTAGTTGGTAGGCGACAACCAGGTGCACTAAAAGACAGTTTGCCTCAATTTTGTTAATATATCGATGCGTTGTACGGGTTCGGGGATTTGCAGTGATTGGTGACAACACTTTATGAAGAATTAAAACACCATTTAATCGTCAGTATTGCACAGGACAGTTGCAAAGACACGTTACAGACGTCGAAAAACTACTATAAACACGCTGAAACGATCAGCAAGACAGCCTTCAGGTTATCAGGCTACAACGTTTGAGACAGCTTCACGGCAAAGCACTAAGGTGCAGCTCCCGACTCGGTCGATCCCTCTCCAGCTAACCTCGGAACTCAAAGCACTACTACTGAACTCAAGATATTCTTCACGATAAACTCGATACACTCAAGTTAGACTGACGATAAACTTCTACTCTGTGTAAAGGAAAAGTTTATGTATCTTTTCTGACCTGCCTTCGAAAACATTCCGGGGCAAAATAGTAAGAATTCATTCCAGAACGTTTTTGCTAGGTCTATGGCATATCGCCAATTTTGTCGCCAAATGGGCGATTTCGCACCACATCTGGCAACCCTGACTTTCCGTTACATTTTGGCAGCCCCAAAACCACTTTGCTGGGAAGGTATCTTACCGCAGATGGGTATTCCGTAACAATATGATTGATAAAGCAAATCGACTGTATTTTATCTTGCACGCTTTAGCTTTTTTGCTGGCCACCAGGAGGGGAAGAATAAAGTGTCGCTAAGTTTTAATCTGCCCAGGGGTGTATGAAAACTACTTTTTAAGTCATTACCAGAATTAAAAATCGCCAGCATCAAAGGAATAACTCTCGGTGAAGGACTGTTGGAAGGGTTTCTAATATTTTTCTTACATTGACCTCTTTTCAGAGAAGGATTTTCTTCCTTCACATTTTAATGTTCAATATTCAGCATACAGTGTAATCACAATACAAGTAATTGCACATTAATAACTTAAAGATAACAATTAAATTAAGAATATGAACAAAAGTTTTGGAAGAAAAAGGGCTTATCAGATTTATGTTTTATTGTTTTTTGTTCTATTATTATTTTTAATTTTGCAACTATCAACAAGTTTTCAGAAACAAAATCAGATATTAATTGCACGAAAGCTCGATTTTAATTAATATGACGGCTGCACTAGATGTACTGATGCCTTATTTTAATATTTGGCGTAAAACTGTTTCATTTAATTTTCAAATCACCTCATTAGAAATATTCAGCCTGGATTTTGTTCTCCGTTTTTATCCTAAATCGCAATGCAACAAAAAATTTTAACAACAGTTCAAGAACAGCTCCTTATATACATCTTCTGGAGACCCATTCATTCATTGGACACCAAATTTTAATCATTTGCATATTTGGTCAAAACATTTACGCATACGAAATTTCAAAACAATCGGGGGATTCCTTCTTGGTGCGTCGATTTTTTTCCCCTTTAGAGTGTAATTCCGCTTTAACGAGAGTTTAATTGTGAATAAGTACCACACGATCTAGAAGAAACCCTTGTGCTAACTGTGTTTGTGGCATTGAGGATGCAATATCCACTTCCATTTCCTACCTCACCTTTGCTGCCATTTGTGCAGATGGGCTAACAGTTAATGTGAGTGTAGTAGGGCTGTAATGTGAGTGTATCATTCTGTTAAAATAGTAAATTCTGCAATGTAGCGAGGTGGTAGAGAAAAATTTTGTTCATAATCCGTATAAATAAATTCATTATTCCAGAGCGTACAATTCGCAACGGCAGTGTTTTACCTTCTACTTTCCATCCATGATCCTGTCCTCCTTTTAGTATTCCTTAGCCAAGTCTCGGAAGACATTGCAATAAGCTGTAGTTCTTTTTAAAATTAAATTTTTATTTTTTTATTTCATTCATGGGATCTGACAAGCAGGATAAGTACCTAACGCAGCAGACCAGCTATTCTGTCAATGGCTGGGGGGTGAAAAGGTGGATTTACGTGTCATCGAGTTCGTGAAGGAGGGGTGACAGTTTTGTATTTCATATTCCATTGACGACGATTCACAGCCGGAATTATTGACGCTAATTTCACTGAATTTCTTTGTCTGATAATCTTAAAGTCTGAATTCGTAGTTATTTAAAATGTTATTAATAAATTAATTATTCTATAATTATAGAATAATTAATTTACTAATGGAATTCTATAATTATAAACCGTAATAAATTAATTATTCTATAATTATGAAACTTGAGGACAGTATTCTCAAGAACATACAGATAAGTATTTGATCAAGCATTTAAAGAACTAAACAACTTATATAATGATAAACATATTTTATTTCATTATTAACATTATTTTCTCGTGTGCCGAGCGTACGTGTATTAACAGAGTGAATAACCGTTAAATACTAGTAGTTGATCCAGGATTCGTTTTCAGTCCTTTTTAACAGATAGCTGTGACATGCTTTTCCATAATGCAAGGAAACCTGTAAGTCAACAATATATCTGTTGTTAAGATTTCGCATTCCATCTTACACATTCTAGACCTACGTAGGACCTACATAGTTTAAGAATAAAAGTTCTGTTCGATCTTATATGTAAGGTGATTCGCGTAAGCGTATATAAATTTCAGGCAGAGATAGATTAAAAGACGATTCGCATAGCAACTGCATAGCAATGTAGGGATATAAACTCATTCGTAGCGTGCTAGAGGACGTTGTTATGTAACAAAAAAATATCCGCTCGCGAAATTAGGCCTTTGGTAATCAACTGCAGAGGAATTAATTACAGGATTGGGGCATTCCCACTACGCGTGTCTCTAGGACTCGGACTGTGGTCCCCTCACCCCGCAGAACCAGCACAAAGGTTCAACCTCCGCCTCGTACCTTGGAGAGAGAGAAATGCACCTCCTGAACGGAAGTCCAGACGGCACTGGTCGTTAATTTGCTACCTACCAGTCGCTCGGGCTACCCGTCGCAGCGGGACATTACCCAGCGAACCCAGGGGCCCTACCCCCACGCTGCGCTAGGACGTGCTGGACTCCCGGCCGGCCAATAGTGACCCCTTTTCGGGGCCTTCAGAAGCACCAAGTTCATAAATTTTATACCCCGTGGCCGAGGCTGCCTAGGTAGAGATCTTAGCCAGTAGCTTCGCAGAATTCTCTACGTCGACTCCCGAAGGTGAACTGCAGAGGAAGTAGGATAGAAGATTTCAATAATTCCGAGATAGCAGATATGCATCTAGCATATGGAGCGGCGGATTCTAATGGGAGAGCGACTTTGCACCTGTATAATGAGCGTAACCCGAATAGCCAGATTCCGTATCACCAGGTGCTTGCACGGCTACATCAATGATTGTGCGACAAGGGATCTTTCGGAACAAGTCAAAGGAATAAGGAACGAATGATACGGACAACCTGAAATAGAAGAAACGATGCTTCATTACGCAGAAAGAAATTCACATGTCAACACTCGAGCGATCGCTAGAAACGTCGCGGTTTCTGAAACCATCCGTCTACACAATCCTGCAATCTAACCACCTGTATACCCCTATCGTCCACTATTTCCTGCTACACCACGAGTTGCATTTACCGAATGATAGAAGCAGAAGTGTATGACGGAACCCCGTTTTCAGGCTGTTATCCTGTTTGGCAACGAGGCAGAGAAGGCTGCTACAACGCGCATAGCAGTGGGCAGCCCCAGAAGTACCCCATCACTGGTTATTTTTGCAGTGATTTGTCACGGATCGTTAGTGATCACTTAATGGTCCGATATATCATGCATGTTGGTCTGGAAGGAGGGTCTTGTTAAGATTTTCATGGAGGAAGTTTTGCCCGGATTATTAGACCAGCAAAGCATCCAGCAGCCGCGATGCAACTGTATTATTATTTAACCGTGCTGGTACCAAATCCCATTTTACTCTTTCCGTTCGGCAACACTTACATTCAACAGAACAAAGGTGGATTGGCTATGGTGGTCATATTCATCGCCTAAACGTTCCCCGCCCTGCCTAGATTTCTTTTTCTGGGGTTTCTTGAAAAGCCTGGTGTACGAAATACCCATAGCCAGCGAGGAGGATCGTGTGATCCGTCAGACTCCCGGTAAATTCCGAAAGGTTCGTGATTCTATGCTGCGCCACCTTAGCTAGCGATTGTAACTTCGAACACTTACTATAGCCTCTAATACTGCAACTGATTAAAATAGTACTATTCATATTTCTCTCTCTCTTTCATTTCTTGTGTTTTCTTCTCTGCATACTAGCTCATGAGGATTGCGTTTCCATGCTATGCAACTCCATCGTCTTAGAGTAACGTACTTCTCTCTGAAGTTTGTACACGCTTAAGCAAATCACCCTGTAAATGATAAACCACTGTAATTTGAAATTTACGAAGAACTTGTATTCTGTTGCATGGATATTAGCAAAATTCAACTTTTTGCGTTGCAGGAAATGTAGTTCTATGGGCTTGACGTACCCTTTATGTGCTTGACCATCAAGTAAGTTCTACAAAATTCATGCATCAAGCAAGTTATTTTCAAATTTTACTTTCAGCGCGACCTATCTACCAAAGGCGGAACGCATACATGTTTAAATTTTAAAATAATGGACGTCCAAAAAAAAAATAATGAACGAATTTCGGAAATTGTCCAAAAATTAGAAAACTTGAAACAAATT